GAACCTGGTGGAGGGGGGAAGAAATGAGGAAACTTTGTAACAATATGAACAATAAAGATTGATTAAAAAAAAAAAAAAAAGTCAGCATCATCAATAAAGGACTTGAATGCAAGTGCTTACTTAATAACTTGAGTATCTTCCAACCTAAACAATGTAGTACCGATAGTTCTTCTTAAAGACAGTTCACTTCGCTGAAGAAAATTATCCAGCCAGTGTTGTGATGCTTTGAAGTCTTGGGGGGGGGGGGCGGGAACTATGCCAAACTGCGGTGCCATTGCCAAGGGCAAATTCTTGAATCTGAGCCCTATTCACAACCAAAGCCTCTGCTTTCCTATTAATAACCCACTCACAAATCAGGTCTTCCAGCTTGGAAAATAATGGTTGCCGACCTGACCCACACTTGCGCTTTTTAGCATTTCCCTTGTCCATTTGTTCAATGAGGTTACCATACTCTGCTCGCCATTTTTGGACCAACAGGATACTCAACATCTTCTCTTTGCAAAAAGCCGTAAGATTTTGGCCCCAAGAGTCTTCCACGATTCCTTTCTACAGAGTAGCTTTTTCTTTTTGCACTCATTTCTAGGGGTAAAAAAAAGGAATTGGGGTACCAAGGCGGGGGGAGGGGGATCACTTAAAATGACACAGGGAGGATCAGAGGAGGGAATCAAATGGCACAGGAGAATCAGAGGGGAGATTACCATTTTAGTAACCCCTTTTGATCCTCCTGTGTCATTTTGATTGCCCCCTCTGATCCTCCTGTGTCATTTTAAGTGATCCCCCTCTCCCCACCCATGTACCACTGAGCACCTTCACCAGACATCTCCCTATCCTTTTATCAGACATTGACCCCCTGGGGCCTGCCACTGAGCTTGCTGGGGCCTGGATCTGGGCTGGAGCAGGGTCTGCCACTGACTGAGAACCTTCAGTCATCATGAGGGGGGCCGTGATCATCAGGTAGTGTCACCAGAGACAGACCAGCACTCACCACCTTCTCTGTGTCAGCTCTAATCCTCCTGTTCTTCTACAGGCATCTATGAAAGACTCCTCTCTCCTGCCCCATGCTCACTGCTGACTCCTGACCTCCCTCTGCTCCGCCTCCACACAGCAGTGATGTCAGGACTCTGAATAACGTCACTGGTCACTGGTTGCTAGACGCCAGTTGGGACGGCCCTAGCAACCAGTTTATGGTAAATTAATTTTCATTCTGAGACAGCCTTGGGGGTGCCTTATTTTCGGGGGGGGTGCCTTATATTTCACCCAGAAGGAAACCTGTAAGTAGGTCTTATTTTCGGGGAAACACGGTAGGTATAATTTTGACTTATCCACACAGGACAACTATTGTTGTGTTGGCTGATGTCATTTTTTATTGACACTGTAAGGGAAAAGAGATCAGTGCCCGTGACTCCTCTCTCTCTGAAATCAATAAAAAACAACAACTATTAGACTTCCCTTGCTAAAGATAAAATCTGTTCTCGAGGGGAAAACTTAATCACTTGTATTAATTGGTAGTACTCTCCCCCATAATGAGAAGTGATGATTCTAGCCTAAAAAATGAAGTGAGGAGGGGAGATTTTTGCTAAAGAAAATACAATTGCTAGGAAGATAGTCTCCCAGTTACCCCACTCCCTAACTTTCTTGTAGTTCTATCTCCTGAAGCAAGCAGCTCTGGGGAGGGCAGAGCTGATTGGCCCACAAACACTGGAGCCAGCTAAAGGCCTCAGGAGGGCTGTGGGTCACCCTTATGGTCTCCAGGGAGAAGAACATTGCAGTGCTTGCCCACAGCCTCCTCAGGTGTCCTTCAGGGAGCCTAGAGCTTCCTGCCGGGACTCCGTGGAGAGTTGTTAGCTTGTCACGTCCCATGCAGCTGCCACAGGAGTGGAGACCACTGTAGCACCTTGACTCAATGTTCGCCGCTCAGGGACCACAAAGCACACTATCCATGAGAGTGGAGAACAGAGCCAAAGGAGGGAAGGAACAGGACAATGTACCTGAGGGGCTCCCAGCACTCAAAATACTGTTCCATTAAATATTTTGCTATATTTTAGAGAGGGAAAGACAGAAACATAATGATGAATCATCGACTGCCTCCTGTACACCCCACACTAGGGATCGAGCCCACAACCAGGGCATGTGCCTTGACCAGGAAGGGAGAGGCAAAGAGAGAAAAACATCGACGTGTGAGAGACACATTGATTGGTTACCTCCTGCACACACCCCAACCAGGGCCAGAGATGCAAGCCTGCAAGCAAGGTACTTGCCCTTGCCGGAATCAAACCTGCAACCCTTCAGCCCACGGGCCGATGCTCTAACCACTGAGCAAAGCAGCTAGGGCTCACCTCTTTTTTTTTTTTTAATATATATTTTATTGATTTTGTACAGAGAGGAAGGGATAGAGATAGAAAGTTAGAAACATCGATGAGAGAGAGTCATCGATCAGTTGCCTCTTGCACACCCCTACTGGGGCTATGCCCGCAACCAAGGTACATGCCCTTGACAGGAATCGAACCCGGGTCCCTTCAGTCCCCAAGCCGACGCTCTATCCATTGAGCTAAACCGGTCCCGGCAGGGCTCACCTCTTTTTAATGTATTTTCAATGATCAGCCTTGACCAGGAATCAAATTGTGATCTCATCCATAGGTTGATACTCAACCACTGAGCCACACTGACTGGGCCTGAACATGGTTTAATAATTTATATAGCTACTTTCTTTTTTAATATATTTTATTGATTTTTTACCGAGAGGAAGGGAGAGAGATAGAGAGCTAGAGAGAGAAACATCGACCAGCTGCCTTTTGCACACCCCCTACTGGGGATGTGCCCGCAACCAATGTACACGCCCTTGACCGGAATCGAACCTGGGACCTTTCAGTCCGCAGGCCGATGCTCTACCGCTGAGCCAAACCGGTTTCGGCTATATAGCTACTTTCATATGGAATACTTTCAGCCAAATATGAAAGAAATTTATAAATATGGGATATCTATAGTGTGGTTTAGAGGCCAGAGATGCTACAAAAACTAACGACTTTTTTAAATTTTAATTTAATTTTCAAAAAATATATTTTATTGATTTTGTACAGTGAGGAAGGGAGAGAGACAGAGAGTTAGAAACATCGATGAGAGAGTCATTGATCAGCTGCCTCTTGCACACTCCCTACTAGGGATATGCTCGCAACCAAGGTAGATGCCCTTGACTAGAATCGAACCTGGGACCTTTCAGTCCCCAAGCCAACGCTCTATCCATTGAGCCAAACCGGTTTTGGCTTTTTTTTTTTTTTTTTTTTTTTTTTAGTAAATCTAATATTAAGAAAAGAGATAATCCCAGAGATAATTATCAGAAACTCTCTCCTGACTCCTGTTTTGCTTAGTATAGAACATGGGTTGTCAAGAAAATTAAGAAAACAAGAGGGAATTGTTGAGAGGAACTGAATTCATTTAAATAGGTTTCAACTTCATTTAAAATGTTTCACCAGCCGAAACCGGTTTGGCTCAGTGGGTAGAGCATAGGCTGCGGACTCAAGGGTTCCAGGTTCGATTATGGTGAAGGGCATGTACCTTGGTTGCAGGCACATGGTTGCGGGCACATCCCCATTGGGGGCTGTGCAAGAGGCAGCTGGTCAATGTTTCTCTCTCATCGATGTTTCTAACTTTCTATCCCTCTCCCTTCCTCTCTGTAAAAAAATCAATAAAATATATATTAAAAAAAAATGTTTCACCATAGTATATGTAAACTATCTGGCTCTAATTTGGGGAGTCATATGAGGTGGGCGAGATCTGGAATAACAGCTACGCCCATGAAAAACTATGGTATTTGCCGAGACCAGTTTGGCTCAATGGATAGAGCGTCGGCTTGGGGACTGAAGGGTCTCGGGTTCGATTCTGGTCCAGGGCATGTACCTTGGTTGCGGGCATATCCCCAGTAGGGGGTGTGCAAGAGGCAGCTGATCGATGACTCTCTCTCATCCATGTTTCTAACTCTCTATCTCTCTCCATTCCTCTCTGTACAAAATCAATAAAATATATTTAAAAATGTATCACTAAAAAAAGAAAAAACAAAAAAACAAAACAAAAAAAAACTATGGTAGTTATGTTATTGAGCTGTTGGTTTGTGGGGAGGGTTTCTCAACACACTGTAAAATGATGGGTTGTCCTAACTGGTTTGGCTTAGTGAATAATGCGTTAGCCTTTTGGCTGAAGGGTCCCAGGTTCAATTCTGGTCAAGGGCATGTATCTTGGTTGTGGGCACATACCCAGTAGTGAGTGTGCAGGAGGCAGCTGATTGATGCTTCTCTCTCTCTCTCCCTCTCTTTTTTTAAAACACTTATTTTTATTTATTTTATTTTATTTTATTTATTTTGTACAGAGAGGAAGGGAGAGAGATAGAGTTAGAAACATCGATGAGAGAGAGTCATCGATCAGCTGCCTCTTGCACACCCCCCACTGGGGATATGCCCGCAACCAAGGTACATGCCCTTGACCGGAATCGAACCCGGGACCTTTCAGTCCCCAAGCCGACGCTCTATCCATTGAGCCAAACCGGTCCTGGTTGATGTTTCTTTCTCATCAATGTTTCTAACTCTCTATCCCACATGTGTCAAACACAAGGCCCGCGGGCCAAATCCGTCCCGCCAGGCCTTGCAATGTGGCCCGCACCTCGCTGTCATCACTGCACTCCGCTGCGTTTCCATCACAATGACAGTTTATGACTGTTCAGTAAACCATTCGGCCCGCGATTTAGGCTGGATTTTAGATTTTGGCCCCTTCTCTGATTGAGTTCGACACCCCTACTCTATCCCCTCTCCTTTCCTCTCTGTAAAAAAAAAAAAAAAAAAAAAAAAAAAAAATCAATAAAAAATACTTTAAAAAATGATGTATGGGTTGTACTACACAAGGAGCTCTTCTCTAACTTCTTGTGTGACCACAGACTATTGTATGTTTTTGCAATAAACAAAAATTTTATGTTTATTATATCTTTAACTACCCCGTGGCTTAAAACGGATGTAATATCATTATAGTTTATTCAGGGCTACTCAGGCTGTAAAGAAATATGAAAAACACAAGACACCTGATTTGAAAAGAAACTAGTGTTATGATTTCTGAGATTGTGAACAAAGGGAAACATGTTGAACTTGGATAAATGTAATATCCTTACAGTTATAAATGCTGAGTACCTATATATATATAAAAGGCTAATGTGCAAAGTGTCCCCTCAGGAGTTCTATTGCTCACTATGATGTGTGCTGACCACCAGGAGGCGGTGTGGAATGAAGGAAGGGTGCGGCCAGTGGCCGTCAGCTGTCAGCCAGGGAAGGCAGACCCTGTCTGTCAGCTGGAAGGCCCTGACTGATCCTGACCTCTGGCCAGGTCTAGGGACTCTACAGATGCACGGGGCCTCTAGTATAATTCTAATAACACTGGCTGAACTAGTGTACAGCTGTTTTCACATCACCTATCTAAGGAACTAGATAAAGGAATTCACTGTATAGTATAACAAAAGTTCTTGGCACTTAAATACTTCAAATGAATGAATTATTTTTAGTGAGGGAACATATCTTAACTCATCTTCATAGAATATAGAGGTCAGAGTGATGTTAAAAATATTTAAGTCTTTAGAGTACAAGCATATAATTGAAGAGCTTGTTAAGAGGGATCTTTCCTGTGAACTCGCTGGTGGATGTGGAGGTTGGAGCTCTGGCTGAAGCCCTTCCCACACTTGCTGCACTCATAGGGCTTTTCTCCAGTATGTACTCTCTGGTGGATGAGGAGTTTAGAGCTCTGGCTAAACCCTTTCCCACACTTGCCGCAGTGATAGGGCTTTTCCCCAGTGTGAACTCTGAGATGGATGCGGAGATCTGAGCTCTGGCTGAAGCCCTTCCCACACTCATAGCACTGGTAAGGCTTCTCTCCTGTGTGTATGCACCGGTGAATGTGAAGGTTCGAACTCTGACTAAAGCCCTTGCCACACTCTCCACATTTGTAGGGCCTCTCTCCTGTGTGGACTCGCTGGTGGATGTGCAGGTTAGAGCGCTGACTGAAGCTCATTCCACACTCCCCGCACTCATAGGGCTTCTCACCAGTGTGCACTCGCTGGTGGATATGCAATTTGGAGCTCTGACTAAAGCCCTTCCCACACTTGTCACATTTATAAGGTTTCTCGCCTGTATGGACTGCATGATGAATAAGCAGACTTGAACTCCTTGTGAAGCCCTTCCCACACTTGTCACACTTGTAAGGTTTCTCATCTGTGTGGATGGCTTGATGGATGAGGAGACTTGAGCTCCTTGCGAAACCCTTCCCACAATGCTCACATTTGTAGGGCTTTTCTTTTGTGTGGTCTTTCTGATGAAGTAGTAGTTCTGAGCTCTCATGGAAGTCCTTACCACACCTACTGCATTGGTATTGTTTCTCTGCATTGTGTATTTTCTCACATGAGTGACTATATGAGCTGGTATTATGTATTTTGCCAGAGTCATAATGATTACAGAGATGGTTCTTTGTAGGAGCTCTCTGATGACTGACCACTCGTGATTTCCAACCATAAATGTTATTACAGTTACAGTCAAAGGGATCCAAGGATTCTTTCAATTGGCTCTTCTGGCAAATAGCTTCACTACCTAACAATGGTGAGACCAGTTCTATTACATCAGACACAAGTTTAATATGAAGGGTCTCTGAACAATGGTCTATGGGAGGACTTTTCCCTCCTAATACTTTTCTCTCAGTACTTTCTTCTGTTACAAACAGACTTTTTGTCTTCTGAGGGTCCTGGGGCTCATTGTCACAAAATGTCACTGAGGAGTCCTGTTTGGCCATTTGGCCCGGAACTTTCAAAGACAAATATTCTTCACTTTCCATGGCACTTAAATACTTCTTGACATCACCACTTTGAAGGGTCACGTCACTGCTCTTGTTTCTGGAAATGTGAGAAGATGCTTCTCCCAGATCTAGTTCTGGGTTCCTATACATTTCTCCTTGAAGATTCACAGTGTAATCCTTACTCCCAGTTATGGTACTGGCAATCTCTTCCAAAATTAGCCAGCAGAAAAGCTCTTCATGTAATAGATCCCCAGGTCCTTTCTCTTAAAGATTCTCCACAGAATTTTCATTCAGGTCTCCTAAGGAACAAAGAAAATTTAGTGATATAAACAAACTGGATAGATTTTAAGATTTCAGAAGTGAAGTGTCTAAGTCCTGAAGCCTTAATAACTGGGAAATAGTTCAGTCTTGTCCTTATAGTCATGTACTTTGGATTGTCAGAGAAAATACTTTTGTACATAAAATATAAATCTTGTCTTTTTTATGCATAGCCAATAAAAGTATTCCTCTCCTGCCTTATCTGGTTTGGCTCAGTGGAAAGAGCGTCAGCCTGTGTACTGCAGGGTCCCAGGTTTGATTCAAGTCAAGGGCACATACCCAGTTGTGGGCTCGAATTTCAGTAGGGGGCGTGCAGGAGGCAACCTACCAATGATTCTCTCTTATCAATGATGTTTCTAGCTCTCTCTCTCTCTCCCTTCCTCTCTGAAATCAATAAAATAAAAATATATATATGTATAAAAAAAGATATTCCTCCCCTAACTCTGCAGAAGGCTATGAATCCTACATCCTTGCCACAAATTACATTTTGGTTCACTTTACTTCATTTTATTTTAGGTAAATTTGCATTGAATTGGTAATCCACTTTAATAGATGCTGGGAAGGATACAAGAAAGTAAATAAGCTAGAGCCTACTGGGGAGAAAGATAAATATATCAATAATGATAGCACCATATCAATTATTTTTTTTCTCTTTTAAAATATTTTATGCATATAAGAATAATACATATGTGTATTTCCTACAAATGGTAGATACTGTCTCATATATTTTTAAACTTTAAAAAAATATATATTTTATTGATTTTTCACACAGAGGAAGAGAGAGGGATAGAGAGTTAGAAACATCGATGAGAGAGAATCACCGACAAGCTGCCTCTTGCACACCCCCTGCTGGGGATGTGCCTGCAGCCAAGGTACATGCCCTTGACCGGAATCGAACCCGGGACCTTTCAGTCCGCAGGCCAACGCTCTATCCACTGAGCCAAACCAAACTGGTGCTGGCTATTTTTAAACTTTTTTTTTTTTTTTAAATATATTTTTTATTGATTTTGTACAGAGAGGAAGGGAGAGAGATAGAGAGTTAGAAACATCCATGAGAGAGAGTCATCGATCAGCTGCCTCATGCACACCCCCTACTGGGAATGTGCCCGCAACCAAGGTACATGCCCTTGACTGGAATGAAACCCGGACCTTTCAGTCCCCAAGCCGACGCTCTATCCATTGAGCCAAACCGGTTTTGGCTATTTTTAAACTTTTTAAACATAGCTTGTCTTGGGCCTCTTTCTTTTTTTATTTATTTTATTTTTTTAAATTAAATTATTATCTGTGTACATATCTTACCATTGTCCACCCCCTCCCATACTTACCTTCCTTCCCCAGAGTTTTGTGTCCATTGGTTGTACTTATATGCATGTATACAAGTCCTTCGGTTGATCACCATATCAATTATAAAATGCACCCTGGAGAGGAAAGCAGGAGTTAGAACAAAGGGGTTGGTGTGTACTACCAAGGATTTAGGGCTAAAACCTTTAAAGATTTATAGCTATTAAAGGATTTCAATTGGGAATGAAAGATTGACTTGTTCATCAGAAATGAGCAAGACTTGCCAAAACCGGTTTGGCTCAGTGGTAAAGTGTCGGTCTGCAGACTGAAAGGTCCCAGGTTCGATTCTGGTCAAGGGCATGTACCTGGGTTGCGGGCACATCCCCGGTAGGGGCTGTGCAAGAGGCAGCTGGTCAATGTTTTTCTCTCATCGATGTTTCTAGCTCTCTATCTCTCTCCCTTCCTCTATGTAAAAAAATCAATAAAATATGTTAAAAGAAAAAAAAAAAAAAGAAATGAGCAAGACTTTAGGTAGAGAGACAATTGATATAGAAAATTAGAAATGGTAAAGATGATAGTTATGGAAAGAGTGAGAGGGACATTCTAAATCATATGATGACTAACTAGAAGGGAAAGGAGGCACCAAGCATGATCCCCAAGTTCCTTGCTTGAGTGAACAGGTTTAGGGGTACTATGTAATAAGATAGGGGATGCAAAAGGGAAGGCTGGAGTGAAGAAGGACAGAGGACAAGCTTTACATCTAATGTTTAATTTGTGGTGCTGGTGGAATCTTCTTACTGTTCAGTAAACAGTGAGATATATGGGTCTGGAACTTCTGAGGGAGAATTGTGCTAAAAATACAAATTTTTAGACTTAGTAGTATATATGTTGATTAAAACAATTAGAGTGAAAATCCTAATATTAAAATGAAATAACAAAAATCTATAAAAGCCTTAAAAAAAAAAGTAAGAGTTGTCATCACCAGAATAAAAATGTTTCTTCCAAGATGAAAAAGTGGTGAATTAGGAATAATGGAGAAAATAGAAAACTAGAAACTAGAAAAAAAAAATTGAACAGTTCAAGCCATGTATAGGAGATGATTTCTGAAGGAATAAGAGATCTTCTCAAGAAGTCCTAGAAATTCAAATAATTCAAATTTCAAAGTCAGAATCAGCGAGAGGTTTATCCTGGCAATTCAGGTTTTTTGTTTTGTTTTGTTTCTATGCCAGTCAGTGTCAAAAGCTCTGCTTCCTAGGCAGGAAATTCAGGTTTTTAAATTCCTGTTAAGACATTTCTGATGGTTAGACTAATTGTTGCTATTTTCACCACCATACTCCCAACCATCCTTTCCCAACAAAAAATGAAATGTTGGATAGCTACCAGATGTAGCCCCAAACAAAGTCTTAAGAACAAATAAATGATCTGTTAAACAAAGACTGCTAATAGTATTAGTTGGGCTGAGAAGAGAAGAAGTGGAGGTAATGCTGAACCTGTACAATGGCAGGGCTGATTAAGGTACAAAAAGAAGCAATTGACTCCAGGACAAAGCCTCAAGGTAACCCCTGAAGAGGGATTTCTGACAAGGGAGATATCTCAGAGCTGCAGATCAGAGCATGGCATGCCTCAGATAACTTACTTGTCTGAAAAGGCACCCTCAAAAAGAGTCTATACCACTCACCATCTGGATTCTGATATCCATTCCAAGCCCAGCTAGAAGAGCTGTTCCTTGTTAGTAGAGCCTGCATACACCAAAGAGGTTGGGATCAGCTGAGGATGTAGACTCTAGTATCGTACTATGCACAAAAAAAACTTTGTGGGGGAAAATGGGACAATAAAAAATGTAAGCAGCCGAAATCGGTTTGGCTCAGTGGATAGAACATCAGCCTGCGGACTGGAAGGTCCCAGGTTCTTGGTTGCAGGCACATCCCCAGGAGGGTGTGTGCAAGAGGCAGCTGATCGATGACTCTCTCTCATCGATGTTTCTAACTATTCCTCTCTTTTCCTCTCTGTAAAAAATCAATAAAACATATTAAAAAAAAAAAAAAAAAGAAACTGTGCCAAGACCGGTTTGGCTCAATGGACAGAGCGTCGGCTTGGGGACTGAAAGGTCCCGGGTTCGATTCCGGTCAAGGGCATGTACCTTGGTTGCGGGCATATCCCCAGTAGGGGGTGTGCAAGAGGCAGCTGA